CTTTTGGTTGCAAATTAGCTGTTGTCATGAATGTAAAAGAAATAATAGTGCTGCACCCTGTTGGTAATCCTTGTAACTTTAATGCCATTGAACATCATAGAACAGAACCAACTTGTTAAAATTGAAACAGCTGTTAAGATTCAATAATTCCATTTCTCATAAGGTTATCATGGGAAACTCCAGAGCCACTGGGGCGGAGCCCGAAAGGATTTTTGAAATAAGAATATGCCTATATGTTAATCGGGAATGTGAGCTATCATCATGCCAAATTTCAGCCCAATCCGATCAGTATTTTTCGCGTTCACTTGTCACAAACATCCAAACTTTCTCATTTATAATATTAGCATAGATAAAACATACGTTGGTTAGTCTATGATATTAGTAGGAAGTAGGATTTTATGTTATTACTAGCTGTAACCCGCGGGCTTTGCCCCGTTTAACTTCTTAATTTTCAAGATTATCTCGTTCGCATGGCTCAATCACGTCCTGGTTGAAGTTTGTTCGCTACGCTCACTCACCTTTAGGTTGGAGCTCGTTCGCTACGCTCACTCACCTTTAGGATTTGAGCTCGTTCGCTACGCTCACTCACCTTTAGGTTGGAGCTCGTTCGCTACGCTCACTCACCTTTAGGTTGGAGCTCGTTCGCTGCGCTCACTTGCCTTCAGGTTAGCTCGTTCGCTACGCTAACTCGCCTCCAGGTTGAAGTTCGTTCGCTACGCTCACTCACCTTTTGGTTGCAAATTAGCTGTTGTCATAAATGTAAAATAAATAATAGTGCTGCACCCTGTTGGTAATTTTTGTAACTTTAATGCTATTGAACATCACAGAACAGAACCAACTTGTTTAATTGAAACAGCTGTTAAGATTCAATAATTTCATTTCTCATAAGGTTAACATGGGAAACTCCAGAGCCACTGGGGCGGAGCCAAGGCCGCACTGTGCTAGCATACAATCGTTCTTTCACTCTATCAGCTGATGTGAGTGTAAATTTGTTGCCTGTAGGTTGTTCATTGTCTGTAGGTTGAGATCAGTAAATTTTGAGCAGTTGATCTCCCAATGCTTTGTAGCCATAGGGTAATTTGTTTTTTGTATTTGACCAGTGGTCCAAAATAGTTTTCGCGTAAGTTGTAGGGCAGATTGTTGTAGATAGTGTGAGCAACATAGTAGCAATTTGTTGTATAGTAAGTTCTATTTAGTCTCGGCAAATAAATTCCTCCACCTAGTGCATGTCTGGTTCTGTATTCGTGTGTTACTCTTTCAAAAATGTCATTCGAGTGTTTGAATATGTAAATAGTCATGGTTCGAATAAACAATTGTCTGATGTCAAGAACGTTCATTTCATTGAAGAGAGCATCCGAAGGGTAGCGCCGATTCCTGCCTAAGGCTGCTTTTATTATCGCTTTTTGGGTGATAATTAATGGCTTTAAAATATAACCATATGCACAGCCCCAGGCTATTATTCCTCCGTCAAGTAGGGACTGCACGTAAGCAAAATATGCAATTCTGATTTCTTCAAACTCCAAAATCTGCTGTAACTGGTTAAAAGCATAGATATATTTTCTTAGTTTATTATTTAGATATGATACGTGATCTGCCCATGAAAGTTTATAATCAATAATTACGCCAAGGTATTTATATTTTTGCACTCTATCTATCACTGGACAGTCACAAGCCGGATCAAAATTTGGACAAGGATGAATTTTTAACTCATTGATGAGTGTGTCACCACGATGACTAAAAGCGATTGGCATGAATTTAGTTTTATCTACATTGAGTGTCAAAACATTTTGATCAAACCATTTTTTAATTTTTTAAATACCTCTTTCTGCGAGGTTGAAAACTGTTTCCCAGTCTTTACCTTCAAATAATACTAGAGTGTCATCTGCGAAGAGATAAAACTTCCCTTCAATGTCGATTTTAACTAGATTATTTATATATATTAGAAATAATAAAGGACCAAGGGTACTTCCTTGAACTACACCATAGTCTACTTCAGCTAAATTGCTCTGAACTCCATTTATGACTACAAATTGTTTTCTATCTAAAAAATATGATTTAAACCATGCTAATGAAACGTTTTTTATTCCAATTAACTCCATTTTCTTTAATAGTATTGATCTGTCGACAGAGTCGAAGGCTTTAGCTAAATCAAAAAATACCAGCACGACCTTGTTTCCTTTATTGACAGCTAAATTAATATCTTTGTTAACTTCAAACAAGGCGTCAGAGATATTCTTCGATTTCCTAAATCCAAATTGACGTGAAGTTAAAATGTTATAATGATTAAGGTAATTAGTTAACTGGTCTTTAATTATTTTTTCCAAAACCTTGGTAAATACACTCAGCAATGAGATCGGCCTAAAGTTCGAAGTCTTAGAGCAGTCTCCTGACTTGAATAGAGGAACAACCTTAGCGATTTTGTAGGCGTCGGGGTAAACTCCCCTCCGGATACTCATGTTAGTGATGTGTAAAAGTGGCTGTTTTATTGAATCCCAGTTGTCCTTGAGTAAATCAGCTGATACACAATCATACCCTGGAGCTGAGCCTCCTCTCAGTCTGGTGACGTAGCCGTACAGTTCATGTTCAGTAACAGTGTGCAGTGCGAGGACAGAGTCAACAGCATAGTCAGAGTCGTGTACCACAGGTGGACCACTCGAATCAATTCTAGCTGCCATGTTTGAACCAACTTGGGTAAAATAGGCGTTGAATTCGTTGGCCACCAGCGGTCTCATATCGTCGTCAGTTTTTGCGTATGGTTTGTTTAATGTGAATTGAGAAAGTGGGAAAATGTCATGTTTAGTGCTTCTACCCGCCAATTCATTTAAAACCCCCCAAAACTTTTTCGGATTATCTTTATACCCCAAAATTTTTTCCCTATAATATTTATTTTTGGTTTCCCTAATATTTTTATTTAGTTCATTTTTTAATCTTTTGAAATTATCAATCAAAACTGTATTAAAAGGTTGTTTTTTAATCTGTTTACTAAGTTTATCTCTTTCTCTAATTTTAATAACCAGGTCATGTGTGATCCATGGCTTTAATTTCCTGAGTTTAGAGTTTGGTTTTTTAATAGTTTTTGTTGACATGCTAACAAGATCTTGAATTTTTGAAATCATGATATTTGAACATGTATTTGTGTCATTTGCCTGTACAATGTCTGTCCAGTCGCATTCTTTTATGTGTGTACTCAGTTCCGTTTTGTCTATGTAGGTGTGAAGTTCCTGTAATGTATGTTCTGTTTTGTTGGAGAAGTTAATCTGTAGACAAACACTGTAATGGTCAGTTATCTCAGTCTTCGCAACAGCAGTTCGTAGTGCAGTAAAGTCGTGGTGACTTATAAAAATATGGTCAATGGATGTCTTACTATCGCCTACCTCTCTAGTCGGTACATTTATACCATTCATAAAACCATATTCATACAAGACATCCAAATAACGCTCTGTCTTGTTGTCAGTTTCCAGCAGATTCGCATTGATGTCACCTATTAAAAAATAGGTTTTTTGATTGTTTTTGTTTTCGTAGTATTTTTCGAGAGCGTAAGTAAAATTGTCCAAGTCACTGTCGTGAGTCCTGTACACAGATAGCAGATTACACCGCTTATCTTGATAAACAAAGTCTAAGGTCAACCCGTACACGTCGCCCAGCTCCAGTTCATTACATTCACACACATTCACTCTCTCACTCACATACATCAAAACCCCATCATTTTGATTTTTCCCTTTAGTAGTGCGAAACATTTTATACCCCTCTAAATGCATCCCCTCCCCAACACCCCCATACCACGTTTCCCCCAGCGCAATAATATCAAACTTTAAAACTACCGATTGAAGCAAGATAAGAAGTAACTCAAAGTTTTTATTGTAACTTCGAATATTCATGTAGAAAATGTTTAAAAAGCTTTTATCTTTGCTAAAAGCTAATCCTATGTCATTTAAGTATTCTATTGTTGTACACTCAATGTGCCTGTAGCTGTCGCTAAAGACATTAATATCGTCCATGAAGTAAAAGTAAAATAATTGTATGCGAATTGTAGGAAAAAAAAAGTATGAGATTTATTATTTTCCGAGAAAAACAAAACAAACAAAAACAACCCACTGTGCGGATCCTGCAGCCGCTACAATAACAAATTCTGTACTAAAGATGAATCATAATGAGAACTAAAACAATAATATTTCCCTCATTGCGAATCATAAAAAATCAATAACACTTGTAATTTTACATAAGCCTACAGTTAATAAGAATGAACAATAATTAAAACTAGATAACCTGTGAGAAAACCTTGTCATTTGTACCAGAAAGTGTGTTATAATAAAAAGGTTCATAAAAATTTTTTACTCTTATACGTAACGGTTCATACATCTTTGTTATAATAAATTAAAGATAAATAATTTTACTGATTAATGTGATGAGGAAAATTTAATTACTTTTGCAAAATTAACATGACTTATAAACTAACAACATTATAATAATTGAAACATTATAATAATTGAAACATTAATGTGTTTCACTTCAATTATGGATAACCAACACAATAAAAATAAAGTACATTTTCACAAAAAATAATACATCTTGAACATAGTAACTTTTTTATGACAATAGAACGTGAATTTTTGATTTATGTTTAAGATGATTGGTGATATTAAATTATTATCATATATATAGTATTATAAAGGTCTAGTCTGGTTTAAAGTAGTATTATTAAAACTGATAGGAAATATCCTGTTTCAGCAAATTATGGTGCTTCAAATATTATTTTATCATATAATGAACGTTATTACTCTTAATGGGAAAAAGTTTGCAATTTATGGTCAAATATTTTTACTTTAGCTTATTAAAATATGACATCAAGTTACTTGACAGCTCATGAAAGAATGATATTTGTTAATTTAAAATAATTTACCTAACCATGAAACACATTATAAAAATCTAAAGAGCAAATTAAAAATACCTATGTATCTTATAGGCTGAGTGCATTATTCAACCCATTAACTGCATAATGATTACGATGAAGCATTGTCCGTGTTGGAGCCGCTGTTGCCGCGCTGATTGACACCTCCGCTGAGCTGTCGCTGGGCCGTTGGTTGAGCCGTTGGTTGAGCCGTAGACTGAGCCGCTGGTTGAGCCGCTATCACCTTGACGTCCTCGGGGCTCCTCACACGTGCTGGTTTCCCATCTGCCGTCTTCCTCACCAGGATCTTGCCTTCTTTGACCCATGCATACGCTAGTTTCTTCTCCTTGACGAGCTTTTTGGCGCAGTTTAGAGTTTCTTTGGCATGGCCTGTGAGATGTTCGTTGATAAATATTGGTGTATCAGGAAAGCTCGGATGCACCATTTTAGCGGTTAGGTCGATTTCTTTAGCCGCAAGTAGCCACGTCATCCTGGAAGTTCTGCGGGTGAACTTTACGATGATATTAGGATGTTTCTGGCGGGTTGAAGGCACCCGATGCGCTATTGAAATGTCTTCATACTTCCAGGGCGTACCGATGGTGTTAGCAACTGCCTTTAGAACGGCATACACGTCTTCATTCTTGGTTAAAGGCACCCCTACGACCTCCAGGTTGTCAATCCGGCTGTACTGCTGTAAGTCTTGTAGCTGCTCCGTCACTGAGTCTACTTGTTTAGACAGGTCGTCGCAACGTGATTTGAGATCCACACATTCTTGTTTCAATAAGATGTTTTCTGATTTTAGGCCACTTAACGATGACGTAATTGTTTCTTGCCATGTATTTATTCGTTCATTGATTACGTCAAGTTTTTCACAAATCGAGTCATTAATTTTCCCTTCTAAACCAGAAAGTTTCTGATCAAGGGTGTCACTAAACTTGGCGTGTAAGCTGTTAATTGCTTTGAGGACAGTAGAATCTTCGGTATCACTTACACTTGACATTGATGCTGTCTCCTTATTAAACTTGCCACACTTGAACGGACGGTTACGGGTCTTCCTCTTCAGGTCAGGTCCCGCACACTGCACGTGCATCACGTCACTGCACTCCACGCACGATATTACGTCGGACGAGTTCTCGTTGCACTCAACGTTGCACTTACAACACTCCGTCATGTCCCAAATACGTTATTACAAATGTTGAATGTTACCGTACTAAAGGTACTGTATAATGGTAAGCAGCGAGGCACGCAGGACCGGGCGAGCGAGTGGGTTAACTGATAACGAGGTCCTTCCTCATCGACTGCTAGATAACGACTCAATGTCTACTTGCAGAACCCAAATGTGTTATATGTAAAGTTGATGTCTTCTTACAGTATCCGAAGTCAATGGTCTATCCGGTTCTAATAAATTAAATGTCTACTTGAAGTATCTAATGTCAATGGCACATTTGGTTCACGCAAATGAAATGTCTACTTGCAGTATTTAAAGTCGATGGTTCATCTGGTTCTCATAAATTACATGTCTACTTGCAGTATCTAAAGTCAATGGCACGTCTGGTTCAAGTTAATGGAATGTCTACTTGCAGTACCTATCCAAAGTCAATGATATATTTGGTTCACATAATTTGGAATCCCTATGTGCAGTATTCAAAGTAAATTGTACGTCTGGTTCACGTAAATGAAAAATGTCTACTTGTAACATCAAAAGCCAATGGTGCATAATCCTTATTGGTTATACATTTTGTAGCAAATAATGCTCAACGGTATCAATCCGATTGTTCTTCCCTTTTGTTCTCTATTTTGCAATGTGCTAGTTTAGATGATTTATTTGTAAACACATGTTACAACTTTTGTTTACCTTTTTGAACGGAGCGAAGCGAAGCGAGCGAAGCTCTTATACTACACTCCTGCTTTAGTTTTACAAATACTCCTCATGAACGGCTGAAGCGATCTGCATGAAATTTAGCACAGTTATAGTACCCAACCACGGGAAGGTATAAATCTGAAATGGAACAAATCGGACCACGGGGGTTTTCCCTATGTGAATTTAAACTTTTAGAAATTTAACATGGGCCTTATGGGTTAAGTGGATGCCATGACAGTATTTGCAAGATAACAATAAAAAGGTATTATTCCCCTAAAATGAAAGTCTCCTGCACAACTTCACGATACGCTCTTTCCAATGAGACCAAAATCATGTCAATCGGTTCAGTAGTTTCGGAGGAGTAATTGTCACAAAAATCCTGCTTGCGTATTAAATAAGTACTAGTGTCCCTCTTGCTCGAATTCGAGCAATTGCTAAGTATTACAGACGTTATTTTAAAACGAATAACATTCATAATTTCTGATGACTTTAAAAGATTCGACTCAAAGATTATGGAAATACTCAATACAGTATGTACATAACAGGTCGATATAATCAACATTTCTTGTAAATATCTTATCATTTTTCAAAAGATGATCTTGTTTTTTAGAGTTTTCTACAAATAGACTTACTCATAGCCGCATTAGGTTGTCTATAATAACGATTATAAACGAAAAAAAAATTATTTCTATTTCTACTCCTTGGTGGTGTTTTACGACTTTCCTATGTTTACATAGTTTGCAAATCGACTCTAGATATTTCATTTCAACAAAGTCAGTAAATGTTTGTAGTAAACTGTTAAATTAGCAAACTTATTGACTGTTTTCAATTCACATATTTTCTTTTTCTCACTTTTAATTTCTGACAACAGTTGGAGTTGCATAACAATGTCAACAAAACACACCCTACATGAGCATGGTGGTTTTTTGTGTTTATTACCATGTTAATCTTATGGAGAAATACGAAACTTTAAAGGGCTCCAGGGCCTCACTCTCTAATTATTTCCCTAAAAAGAAAGTTTCCTGCACAACTTCACGTTACGGTCTTTCCAATGACACCAAAAACATGTCAATCGGTTCAGTAGTTTCTGAGGAGTAATTGTCACAAAAAACCTGCTTGCGTATTAAATAAGTAATAGATATATGGATTTGCTTATGTTAAATTTATTATTTTAAGAGCAACCATCACTTAATTTGAAGACGATAATTAAATTATAAATAATAATTAGTTGATTTGGAATTAGGTAGCTGGTGCCCATTCTACGTACGGGAATCTTAGTAGAAATTTCTTAAATTCAGAATAGGAGTTGGTTTCCATATTTAGTGTGCACTTTTCCAGATATGCTGGGAAAACTATTACCGGTACTGTATATGAATACATATAAACCTTCGCAAATACAATATCTGACAGTTTCAAGCCAAAACGAATGCTTCGCAATTAAATGTTACCCAATCTTGTTAGTCCATATTTTATATCTATCTAATGAAGGAAGCAAAGGAACTGCTTTATAGATCTACTAGCAACAGTGCCCGTTATGGTTAAACACAACGGTCTCTAGTAAAATAATGGTTATGAAATCCATACACCACTTTACTCACTAATATTAATGGTACAGTTTAAGCACATAACATTAGAATGTTTAGAATGTAGAAAATTTAATCAAAGAAAAATTAATTAGATAACAATAAGCTGTTGAATTATTAACACATGTTTCGTATGATTAGATTATACATACTGGTAAACCAATTATTATTACCATCTATAAAAATAATTGGTTTTTCTTTTCCGAGTCGGGTTAGCTCTTCTACCCGACCGATTTTCATAATTTTGGCCAACTAAGGACGTACCGCAGATTTATTTGAGCTACTGTATTGTTTATTGAGATCGGACTACCTAAAGCACACTGCTGAATCACGAATCAACGATAATTACCTATCTGCAATCAATGATACGTAACTATATTTTTATTTAAGTTATTTTATATGTCTTAAAATACTTCAAAAGCTTTCACTTGAGATATTGATAGTTTTAATCAATTAAGTTCAAGATACTGTATCGCTCAATCATAAAGTATAAATTGCATTATATCTTGGATATGGAATTTAGTTTTAAATATATTTAATTAATTCTAACTACGTTATTCTATTTGTTTTGACCTAAGAACCTTCATTGAAATACCACTCCCATTTCATTAAAGCACACAGCTAAATCACGACCAACACAAATTGTTCAAAAAATTGAGTTCTTTATCATCGATTTATATCCAAACGATCTTGCTTGCAACCTCAACAGTACTTTCATAATTATTTGCAAATACAGTGTATTCACAAATTAGGCTATCCAATGACATATTAATTAATAAAATCGGTTCAGTAGAACTGTAGATTTAATTGTACAAAGCTTAAGAACAACATCTTTAATTCAGTATTTTCTCACTACTATACATTTGGAGGTTGCTTAACGTTTTTGCAAATAACTTTGAAATGGCGAGGAAATCGAGCAAAGTGGAGCGTGATATTCTGAAAGAGAATAAAATTTCCTACAAATTACCATTATGTATTGCTTGAAATTACAAGAAATACATACTGTTTCATTAAAAAGTAGTGTAAAATTATACATATTGTCATATTTGATAGATAGATTGGCATTAATTTGGCTAGTTACGTATACAGACAAATTAATATTTACGTAACAAACAATTTACAGTATTTATTTTGCTTTTTGGAAATGCCACATTGCTATTTTATTTGCATCATTTGTTGCAAAAGAAGCCACATGACCATATAAACGAGTAAGCCCCTAACATTACGTAGAGAGATTAATTGACAACTTTATGTAGCCTATGTATAAGGCTGAGACAACTAACTGACATCCCCCATGTCAATGAATTTTAGCTTTAACAGTAACCCCACAACCAATTTCTCAAAACTATGATAGAGGGTTATTTATTTGCACAGAAGTACATATGTACGATATGAACTGACGCGACAAGACGAAGGAAAAATCAAAAACGGATATACATCCCTTTGAAGTTAGAACGTGCCTTCTCAATAAACAGATATTTTTTCTTATATAAAATCATAGATTAATCTGCTTTACACTGGTAAAATAGCGGACATATAGAAATCACTACTAAAAAATTATAAAAATTTAGCATTTTTTTTAAACCAGAGCAGGTAAAGTGTTTAACTGCAAAAGATCCACCAATACGATTTCAATAAACCCTGCTATAGTAGTGTGCTGCTCCTAGTATATCGAGCTCTAAATATTTGCGTTACCAACGGAAGCGCAAACAATGGCATTGTTTCCTATTGTACAAGCCTTCGAGCGCCCGGTTGGCGGTTTTTTGCTGTGTCTGTCTACTCACTACTGCTTGATTTCATCGCAGAGGCGCAGTGTGCGTGATGTTAAGCGTCACAAAAATGCAAATACCCCATTTATATTATTGAGCGAAGCACTTATAATTTTGTGCTTATTTTTGTATTTTAATTTATAAAGGCATTCTGCACATCCACAGGAAACTATCTTTCTAACAGTATGCGTAGATTTTCCCTGCGATGCACATAAGCTGAGAAAAAAGGTTTTAAAGCATACTAGCTGTTACCCACGGGCTTCACCCACCCCGTTTTAATTCATAAGTATTAATAAAATTATTGATTGGTTAAGTTAAACTTGAATAAACAAAACAGAATACAGAAATACAAACAAATAATTACACCTGATTTTAATAAGGAAATACATTGAAAGAATAACATACAAATAAAGACAGCTGAGGTTTTTTTTAACATTATGTATAAGGAAAGTTCCCTTTGGAAAGAAATTACGACCTTAAAGGGTGATTTATGAAATAATGGATAGTTTTGCGCAAGGTTTTTCTCGTCATGACGAACATTTTAAGTTTATGGTTTATGGGGGTGTGACTTGTAGTTTTCTCAAAAGTTCATGGGTACTTTTGGCTTTATATATAGATTTCTGCTTGCCTATCTATATAAATAAAATTAGAGTTTTGTCTGTACATTGCTCAGAATTATATATTTTTAGGTTAATTTTACGTCTTATACATTAAATAAGCAGAAACGAGTCTTCTGTCTGTCTGTCTGTCTGTCTGTCTGTCTTTCCCTTTGTCTGTAACACTCAAGATGGCATTTTACGCAATCTTCTCCTGGAAAACGAGAGTACCTATCAAGATCCAAGTCATTTTAATGTATTCACTGGATTGGCGAGATTGTCTTTAGCCATTAAAATATGGCCTCACTACTTTGTAAATAATATTACAAACGTTCAAAAATGCAGTTTTGTGCGATTTATGT